AATTAAGGGTTTTGCCCTACTAGTCGATTTCCATATTTTATCTCAGACTACCAAAAAAATAGCAAAGGATCATCGGAAAAAAGAAAAAAAATATCAAATTCGAATTCAAATAGAAATTATTGAAGAATGAGAGAAAATTGGACGAGATTATTTCGAGCGGCCGAGGTTCCCATGTAAATGAACCAAATCCTATAATTTTTAGCATCACTATTTTATACTAATTTTGTATCGTTCAAGGCAGTCCAATTTTCGTTGACTTAATCTAAGTCGTCGGATTATATGAGTGATTTGGAGGTTGAAATTTTCACCCCCAACTCATCTAGAATATAGGCGTAGGCGCAAGTTTTAACTTGGGTTGGGTCATTGAATTATTTGTGGCCTGTTTGCCAAACGAGCCCACTAACTTGTATATGTATAGGTCGTGTTATCAACATTACCCATGTTGGCCCGATTTCATTATAAAATGTGTTTTTTTAGTATATAAATTTAATTTTTTTTTGCAAATTAAATATGATTAATAAAAATAAGTAATGAAATTTTATTATCAAAATTTTTTTATTATTTAAATTTGGAAAAAATAATAATACATATTATTTTATAACAATTCTGCTACACTATTTACAGGTATTCTTTTTTATTATACAAAAAATGTTATTGATTTATAAGTAATTTGTAGACAAAGATTTAATATATAAGAAACAAAAAAAAAATGATTTTTATTATTTACTGTGTATATGAATAATCATTTATTATCCACTAACCAATATTACCTAAAAACAAACTATTACTTAATACATATCGGCAAACATTCAAATTGTACTATAATTATGTTATTTATATTTTAATGTCCTTCTAATAAAATAATACATTTATTGAATATTTAGTTACATAAAGTTATTTTTATTATTTGCACAAAAAAAGCTTTTTAGTAGATACAAATATAATTGACAAATCAATATTTGTAGGTATCTTGGCATCATCTTCCTACAATGAATGAGATCATGATGGTGACAAGATATTGGTTTCTCGGATGATGCTTACCTCTTCCGATGTGAGGATACCTTTAAAGTTCCAGAGACAACAATTCTCTCTTATGGTTTCTTATGATATGACGATAAATAAGAGTCAGTGTCAATCTTTATCATACGTTGGTCTTATGAGTCCGTTTTGCGTACTGTGAATCGTTAGGGTTTGAAATATTAATATATAGTTATTATGATTTGTCAAAAACCAAATAAAAGAATATTGTGTACAATGAAGTGTTTGATAACAGTGCATAGCCTGTGCGATGCATGAGATAAATATATTAATCGAGTCATTTCCATAGGGTTTGTATGTTTAGGCACAAAAAATAATAGAGTTAGATCATCAATTTTTCATTTCTTTTAATCAATGATTTTTTTTTTAACGATAACATTAATATGTTAATTATTATATTATTCTGCTAACACGTTATACTAATATAAATTTGAATTTATAGTATATATTTATTTATCAATATAAAAAAAATTATACCTATTTTTGTTCACCATATAATACTCAATGACTATTTTATTACAAATTTGTTGTCATTAATGTCATTATTATTATTTATAAAAGTTCTAAAATGAGTCTTCTTCTTCTTATTAGTTATGTAATAAAATTTAAAATAAATTTTTTTGTATAAATGTTTACAAAATACACACACGTGCTTTTTAGATTTTAATTTTCTCATAATATTTAAAAAAATAATGAGTTACCATTTATCAAATAATAAACTCTTATATGATCAAGATATTTGTCTAATTTGCATTCTAATGATTTATAGTTTATTTAATATACTATGCAATATAAATATTATGCTAAAGTCATTATGGGAACATATAAAAATAAAAGAAAAAACAGACAAAAAATTATCATGGTTGAAAATAATATACAAATAAATCATATGTTGAATTTTTAAAAAATAGTTAATATATTATCTAACCAATAGTAAAATTATTTAATGATGTCATCATTCTTTTAAATGGTAAATTATTTTAATTTGAAAATTATTTGTTTTTACATGTTACGATTGTTTATAAATCACTAACTTGATTTCGCCTAATTTGTTAGAAGGAGAAAATTATTTAACATGTTACTATTGTTTATAAAGATTTTAGAATGAAAGTCAACATTTGTTAAAAAAATTAACAATATGATTAAGACTTAAAATTTGTTTTCATGTTTATGTTCACCAAAATATTATCAACATAAATCACGAAAAATCAAATTATATTTTATTATAATGGATATTAATAAAATTATTGCAAATGTTAATAAAATTATTCAAGGAAATAATCTTTTTGATCATACCTGATTTGAAAATGTGTATACGAAAACAATTAATGCATATATTTAAAATCTCCAAATAAATTATGTATTAAATGCTCCAAGAACTTTTTGCTACTATATTTTTTTTTTAAATCAAATAAATCACACTCGAAATCGAACATATTTTCGAAAGCGTAAAATATGGAATGTTGTTGATTCATATCAACAATAAAAAGAAAAGAGCTACAGCGAACACTAAACATATTTTCTGATTTTTGAACTTGTTTTCCATTAGTGGTAAGTCAAAGCTTTTGACCAATTTTTTCAACTTTCCACAAATGATTTTTCCATCAACCTCTTTTAATATTGATAAATATAAATATATAAATTATTTGTTTTCACTTTTATTTCCAAACATGTATACAACTGTGTGGTTGTGTATTATTATAATTGTATATGTGTTATGTTGTTAACTTATATCTCACCTCCTTATCTAACATAACAATAACCAATGAATATTATTTCTCGTGCATCGCATGGGCTACGCGCTAGTTTATATCCAAGCCTAACTCTGAACTATGGTTTTTTGGCACATAGGATTCTAAAGCGTGAGAGTCTGTTACTTAGGTTCAACGCATTCGACAATTATATATAGAAGTGATATATAGAGGTGATTTGTGTGTGATAACAAATAATATATATACCAATATTTCTTACGTATACCTTGAAAGGATAAGAACAAGATTACCTTAAAAACCAATATTAAAATGCTTAATATGCTCGTTTAGTCCAATATTTAATTTTAAATGACAACCTTAATATATAAATTCAATATTTAACTTTAAAAATCTACATATATATAAAAAGATTTACTATTTTTTAAAAATAGCAGGTCAAACTTTGGTCAAAACCATTTTGCATTAATTACATTTCATTCTTAGTAACTTTTTTTTTTTTTTTAAAAAAAAGGCAGTATTAAATGCTACCCATTAATTAAGAATGTTGTTATTTTGGTTTCAACAAAACCGTGAATGTTGCTCATTAATTGGGGCTGATGTTATTTTATTTTTTAAAATCATGCTTAATAAAGGAAACAACAATATATTACCCTAAACTGATGGATAATTAAATTGTCTTGCTTTGCATCTTTACTTGCTTAATAAATTAATTAGTGCTGATTTAATATTCAAACTAGTACAACACCCGTGTATTACACGGGTGCTTGCTAATTCTTTTCTTAAATTTAAAATTAATGAGAAAAAGTAGTTTCAAAATTTAAATACCTTTTATAAGAATATATATATTATTATATATTTATTATGATACTTTTTATTTGTGTGACTTATTTGTGTTATATTATATTAATTTTTTAACTTACAATATATAACTACATTAAATATAAATATATCAATTGAGAAATAATTTTATTTTTCTAATAAATTTTAATAAATATTATTATTTTTTATTACTATAATGATAAATATAATTAATTTATTTTATATATACAATATGGATGTCAAATCGAAGATCATCAAAAGATGATTAATTTGATATATTATATATGTAAAACCGATAAGAAATACAAAAGTTATCAACTTTTAAAATACATTTATAATTCAATAGCTTATTGGAGGAAGCAAATCAAAATTTAGGGATATATTAGTCACTTAGTGCTTCACTATGTAAAATTATAAATAATTAAAGGGTTATATTAGTAAAAGTGATATTAAAATATCTAAGTTAGCTAAATAATATTTATGGAATACTCGAACCTAGATTATTAATTATTAATATATCAATATTATTTGTCCAAACCTAATTACGAAGCATGATTCTTCGCCAAATAGGATTCCGAAGCACCAGAAGCAGCCACGTAGGCTCAGCGCATTCGGGAATTATATATAAGGAGGATGATCAAACATATTTTATTTTATTTTTTTTATTTCATATCAAGAAATAAATATATATAACCGATGAAAAAAAAAAATTAAATATGTATAGATAATATATTAATTATTTTACAAGTCAGCCCTAACATGTTCATATTTAATGTTATGTATAACTGTCATTAAAAGATGTAGAAAGTATATTATAACCCTATTATTTTTTTTAGATTTAACGTTGATTGAAAGAGGTGTAAAATATATAAGTGAAAAATATATGATAATCATATTAATTTTAAGATTTAAATGAATAGAGTCTGTGAAAATAATTCTTTTAATATCTATGTCTGTGCATTCGGGTACGTACTAGTTAACTTTAATATGGACTACTTGCGAGCCAAATGGACTAGACTAAATCCAATTTTCCTTAACAAATGCTAGAGAGATGGATAGATACAATATGAAAATAGAAAAATAAAAATGACAAAAATAACTCTTTAAAAAAAAAAAAAAAAAATTCAAAACTCACGTAAGAGAGAGATGCCTTTCTCCCCCATAAAAACCACATAAATCTTTACCTCTGCGTCTCTTATTTCATTTGTTTTTGTCGTAGACACTTGCCGTGGAGAAAATAAACAGAGAGAAAATTGAGAAACAGAGAGAAAATCAAGAACTGTATGTACAAAATCAAGAACTGTATGTACACTGATAGTTCAATTTTCAGCTGGTAGGATTAGATCTGTTACTCCCTTTTCCCCCTTAGACTTCTCTCAACTTTTTTCCGGGGCTTCTGTTTACGTGAAGTTGACGTGTTTCTCGGAGGCGATGAAGCGTTTGCGTGACGATGCGTCTGTGAACCCTCAATTCAAACGGCCATTTGCTCCGGCGTCTCGCGGTGAATCGTGTGTCCTGAATTTTTTTTTTCTTTTCTTTTAATATTTCTTCTCTATTCGCATCGTGAATGGCTGAATCTCAGTGATGTAACGTGGTTTGAAGAGTGGTTTTAATGGTGATATCGGTGTAACTTAGAACTGGATTCAATTATTGTCGATCGAGAATTGTTTTACACACCGATTGTTTTCTTGTGCTTGGACTCAAATTTGGTGCCCACCTTAGTTACTGTTATTAATATTTCAGCAGAGAGGACAGGAAATTAGGTTAAAATCAACATGCTAATGATAGTTTCTGAGATTGCTGTAAGAAGTATTTGATCGAAAACTTCAATCTTTAATGTTAATGGTGCTTCACTCTCTCTCTCTGTCTCTCTCTCTCTCTCTCACACACACACACACACACTGTAGTGTATGTGTTCTGGTGTGTATGTATATGTTTTGGTTATGATTTATTTTGGTTGCATACTGGAGGCTATCATAATGAACCCTGTTTGGTGGTACTCATTATAATCGAATGATCTTTGCGATAAACCCTAAAAGGATTGGCCTTCATTGGTAAATAAGAGGTAAGCAAATCTGTAAATTAGTAAATGTGATTATCTCCAAGAGGAACAATAATATATATATATCCTGAAGGACAAAGAAAGAAACTAAACTAAAGTTCTGTACTTGCATTGCACTGTTGTTGTCTTACTCCTCCAGGTAAATTTGGGTTGTTCTGTGGTAGATATAGATCGTAAAATCGAGTCTTCATCTTTTTTCCTTTTATGTTTTCAGACCTGCACCTCCACCTACTATGGGCAGCAGTGGCGGCGGCGGCAGTGGCACTGGCGGTGTAAGTGGCGGCAGCACGGCGAATGGTGTCATTGGTAATGGAGGTGGTGGTACAAGTGTTGCAGCTGCTGGTACTCAAAAACTTACCACTAATGATGCGCTGACGTACTTGAAAGAGGTTAAGGATATGTTTCAAGATCAACGGGAAAAGTATGATAAGTTCCTTGATGTCATGAAAGATTTTAAGGCTCAAAGGTACGGGAAAATTTATCTGTCGGTAGGATCAGTTTGTTATATATGCGTGAGGATTAGATTGAAGTATTATCAGTCACCCTTGTTATATTTCTCTATATTTATGAATTTTCCTGTTTGTGCAGGATTGATACCGCTGGTGTCATAGGTAGAGTGAAAGAGTTGTTTAAAGGGCATCCTAATTTAATTCTTGGATTCAACACCTTCTTACCTAAGGGGTACGAAATTACCCTCACCGACGAGGATGAGGCTCCACCGAAAAGGACGGTTGAGTTTGAAGAGGCTATTAGTTTTGTCAACAAGATCAAGGTGCGTTTCTATTTATGATGATATGATGTTTTATCTTAGGGTTTATTGAAAAAGTAGCCTTGAATTTCAGTCTATCGCAAAAGGAAAAACAGTAAGAAAACCAGTTTTCTTCCAAAAATTAAGGAAACTCCAATAAATGGCTTGATGTGTTTACAATTTGGAAGATTGATTTGCTGTTTTAGTAATTTAGACCAAAACTTAAGGGTAATTTCAGTAATATTTTTGATAGTTAATGAGGAGTCCAATAATGTAACATTTTCTCCTTGTCTTTATAGAAAATATTTTTTCTACTTGCAGAAACGTTTTCAAAATGATGATCACGTGTATAAATCATTCCTGGACATTCTGAACATGTACCGGAAGGAACACAAGGGCATAACAGAGGTGTACCAAGAGGTCTGCTTGTGCTTCATGATCAAACTCCCATTTGATTCAGGCAGTTCCTTGTTAAATATTGGGTCTTAATGTATTCTAATTTGCAGGTTGCGACGCTTTTTGAAGACCATCCAGATCTTCTTGATGAGTTCACTCGATTTTTGCCTGATACCTCAGCCCAAGCAACAGCTGCTCATGTTTCCCTTGGCCGCCACTCGTTTCACCGTGGCGATGAAAGAAGTTCGGCCGTGCCTCCTGTAAAGCATTCTCAAGTGGATAAGGTTTCTTTTTGTTACTTTTTTGTTCTTAAGAATATTTTCGTAACGACCCCTTAACTACAGCCTAATTACAAAAAAGGAACTTATCTTTGCGGGCTACCAATGGGCCCTTGAGGTTTACATGTACTTACCTTTGGTGTAGCTTCTCTCTGGACACTTGGGGTGTAATAAAGTAAATGTGAGGTTTATTTGTCATATTGAAGGATAACCAGGCTTTTTTGTAAATATTCCTAAAATTGGCTTGTCTTTCAAGACACATCAATTGCCCAGGAAGTATTTGTAATTGAAAATTTATTTTTCTTTTTGGTTAAATAAATAGGCTAAATCAGGTAAACTTTTGGAATAGTTTTTGTAACCAACCATTATTCTTATCTCTATCCACTTATAATTTTGTCTGAGTACTGACGAAGTTGCATGGTCCCCAAAATTCTTAGCAACGGTCACGAAGGGACAGGGTTGCCGGGCCCACTGGAGAACGAGATTCTAGCTTTGAACGTGCTGATGCGGATGACGATAAAACAGTTATGAAGTTGCACAAAGAACACAAGAAGCACACGGAAAGAGAAAATAGAGATAATAGGAGAAGCCATGAACAGGATGAGAGAGATCATGACAATGATAACAATGGAGATGTCAGCATGCATCGTTCGTCTGAGAAAAGGAAATCTGCTAAGAAAGTTGAGGACTTTGGGGGCAACTCTAGTTTAGCTGCCTATGACGATAAAGAGGAATGGAAGAGTGAGTCAGCCAACATGTCTTGTAGTGGTTGTATAGAAAAGTGTTCATTTGCTTTTTCTTATTGGTTTATCTGGATATTGATTTTCTTAGTAGGAATTTACTATATGGCGACATTTTAATAATGGTGGCGGTAAGTCTACTGTTAGGCAGTCATACATTTTCAACAGATTTACATACTTCCAAATTGAAATGTCATACTCTAAAAAACAACATAAATAAAGGTGTGACATTTCATAGCATAAGTACGCTTTTTTGTATAGGAAGTATATGATTGGTCGACCCGCCTAACGGTTAGGCTACCTCACACAAGATTTTGTAATGGTGGAAGATTTATTTCAGTGCACCTTAAAACCCTAATCTAATAAAACGTGAAATTGACTGACAAGAACGGAAAAAATGTACAGAAAGAAGCAAAAGCCCTATCCCTTTCTTTGCGTCTTTCCTTAGAGGTTCTTATTATTCCATGTTCTCAATGGTTTATCTGCTCAGGTAAGCTTTTCGTATCTTATTTTGTTAAACCTTTCCAGGTATGTACCGTCAGGAGTTCATCTTCTGTGAAAAAGTTAAAGAGAGGCTGTGCAATGCAGAGGATTACCAGGCATTCTTGAAATGCCTTCACATTTACAGTAAAGAGATCATCACAAGAAAGGAGTTGCAAAGTCTGGTATGATCTTGTGCAATCTATTAGCACCCAGGAATTGCTAATTTAATGGTTTTCCATAGTTTCAGAATTATTAGCTGCGGACCCCCTTCCAGATCCAAATTCTTATTTATGCTTCAATTTGCGTAGTAGTTGTTTTTTTTCTGAAGTAGATTTTATCATCTATGATATGGGTGTTTCTAGGATTAGGATTTTGCATTTTGCTTTCTTCAATTTGGTTTATTAATAAGTGATTCTGGATGACCTTATGTGTTAATTCATAAAATATGTTGAGGATTTGTTCCTGTATCAAGTTCATATATTTTATGCTTTCAGGTTTTTGATTTACTGGGAAAATACCCTGATCTTATGGATGGATTTAATGAATTCTTGGAACGCTGTGAGGGGATCGGTAATTCAATATTCTTTGCTTTGTCGTAGTTGTATTTTTCTGTTAAATTCCTAGTTGCCTTTAATCACTTACCTTTTTCTGCAGATGCATTCCTAGCTGGTGTTATGGGAAAAAGTATGTAATTTTTCCTTTATTAAATATCTTGGCGGGAATTAAATGATTTTGTTTGTGTAAATGGTCTTTCGTTTCCTTTTCCACTGTTTCCAATTTGTTGTATATTTTTTGGCGATTCTTATGTATAATTACCTACTATGAACCCACCTTATTTAATTGAAATACATCAACTTCTCATTTTGGGTTTCTGATTTGACAAATTTGTGTCTTTAATATCAGAATCATTATGGAGCGAAGGAAATTCTTCAAAAGCTGCGAAAATAGAGGAAAAGGAGAAAGAACAAAAGCATGAAGTGGAAGGAGGTAAAGAGAAGGAAAGATACAATTTAAAATATTGGGAAAAGTCCATTCAAGAGCTTGACCTTTCCAATTGTCAGCGTTGCACTCCCAGTTATAGGCTACTTCCTAAAGATGTAAGCATTGATGATGGATATTTACAAAAAAGCCCTGGTTACAGCTTGTATGACTTAAAAAAAAAATTAAAAATTCAAATCTTTGTGTCTTTTCTGCAGTACCCGATACCTACAGCTAGCCAGAGGTCAGAGCTTGGTGCCCAAGTTCTAAATGATCATTGGGTCTCAGTGACATCTGGAAGTGAAGATTACTCTTTTAAACACATGCGTAGAAACCAGTATGAAGAAAGCTTGTTTAGATGTGAAGACGATAGGTATACAACTTTTTTCAGTTTTGTAATCCTTTTACCTTAGGTGTAGATTGTATGCTTTACTGTAATAGAGCGGCGGTGTTTGATTAAAGCATGTTATAAGATGTTTAAAAGCTTAATTCTCTTAAAGTGTTTGGCTTTTCTATCTCTTTCTTTTTTCTTTCTCTATTTTATCCATAAAGAGATCTGAACTTACGAGTACCCATAGAACATCTTAAAATTGTGTATGCTGTTTCTAGGAAAGTTGGACCTCATTTGTTATTTCCAAAATAATTTTTAGTTTGACAACCTCTAATTTTTTTAGTCTTACTTGCCATGCTACTGTAACTTACATCTTGTAAATTTTAGTTTCTCGTATTATCCAAACTGTAAATGGAATATTTCAAAATAAGATCGAAAATTTTCTTAATTCCAAAAACGACTTATAAGTTTTGGAATTTATAAGGTCGTCTGAATAAGCTTTGCTGTGTCTTTTAATGTGTTATTTTGTATCATCTTCTATTTACATTTCACTTTATTGCTGTTCTATTATCTGTGTCCTCCTATTTCCTAGTCTGGTTTCTATCATATATTTGTCACTAAAGGAAAAGAACCTTTGATTTGTTAGTATAACATATCCATATTTTATGTTTGTTCAAGTTGATGTCTCAGCTTTTACTAATTGAGAAATATTTTTGCATTTGATTTGTATTAAGATTTGAGCTAGACATGCTGTTGGAGTCTGTCAGTTCAACTGCCAAGCGGGTAGAGGAACTCTTGAACGGTATCAATAATAATACAATTGGTTCAGATGGTCCAATAAAAGTTGATGAGTATTTCTCAGGTTCGTTATTTTAGAACTATTAAAAAAGTACTTGTGCCAGGAGAATACTTGGTTTTTTATTTATTTACAATAAAGTAATGCAATTTCTGTTGTAATGGAGTTCTTTTGCTCTCTTTCTTTTCTTATTATTTTGCCATTCAGCTTTGAACTTAAGATGCATAGAACGCTTATATGGCGACCATGGACTTGATGTGGTGGACATCTTGCGTAAAAATGCATCTCTGGCACTGCCTGTTATCCTAATCCGCCTTAAGCAGAAGCAAGAGGAATGGACTAAGTGTCGATTGGATTTCAACAAAATCTGGGCTGAAATATATTACAAAAACCATTACAAGTCTCTTGACCACCGAAGTTTCTACTTCAAGCAGCAAGATTCAAAGAACTTGAGTGCAAAAGGTATGTTCGAATTCGGCGCATGTCCTTTGGCTCTTAAAGGTGTTCACAATGTCCCTAGGGCTACATTTGGTATGACTTATGAACAACGTGGTATATTTTGTTTGATAGATCATTAGATGAGTGTTGAATTTGAGTTTTATATGGATATCTGTTTTACTAAAAATCTGCCCTCGCACCTTTTGTTATATCACTGAAAAGTCACTTTCTGGAGGACTCTTTGCCTTCAAGCTTGACTTCACTCTTTGAAGTCACTTACCCGCTTTACAGGTCCTGAAATTTGCTGGATAAATTGGCAAAATTACCCTGATGTTTGGCAGTCACAGAGAACAACGAATCATTTTACTGGATTATGGCTCCATTAAGATTTATATTTTCTTAACCAATACTCCACTATTGACAGACTATTTTTTGAACTCAATGTCAATATCAAGCCATTATTTGCAATTTTATTTTTTTTTTTAGTTTTTCAAATATCAAACTGAAACTCAAGGGCATTTTGGTGGTCAGACCTACATCGTTTGGTTTCATCAAGTGTATTGAAAATCTCCATCTTTTCAGCATCAACTTCTTGTCCCTTATCATATATCTCATGTAGAGAATCTTGTTTCCCCATTTTTTAAACCACATTCAGAATTAATATTATCAAAAATATCATCACTGGCAAATCCATACTGTTACAATCTATGCCGTGGTTGCAGATACGTACAAAGTACCAATGTTATCATTGTTATGTAACTTCTGATTGTCACTTTTTTCTCGATGTTTTCTTGAACAGCCTTAGTGGCAGAGATCAAAGAAATCAAGGATAAAAGGCAGAAAGAGGATGAAGTCCTCCTTAGCATCGCTGCTGGAAATAGGCACACCGTCTTTTCGGACCTCGAATTCGAATATCCAGATGCAGAAATTCATGAAGGTATCTACAAAATAATTGAATATTCTTGTGAGGAGATATGCTCGACTAAAGAGCAACTGAACAAAGTGTTGAGGTTGTGGACGGGTTTTCTTGAGCCGATGCTCGGTGTTCACTCCCGGCCACACGGTCCTCAATCTATTGATGATAATGATGCTTCTAAGCGTCGAATGATTAAAAATATGGCAATGGAAAGTGAAGATAGTCCCAGTGCAAAGCCTAACAGCAATGATGATTGTGGTAAATCACCGCAACGGTCAAGTTTGGGGAGGATCGGGGTTAAAAATGTGGACACTTTAGCTAAAGAATGGCGTAATGTGACTTCTGATACAGTTGGTACTTCAGGGTCAGATGCTAATCATGGTAAGTATTTTGGAAGAACAGTTAATTGGTTACACTTAATACTGTTAAAGTTTAGTCAATTACAAAAACCTTTTTTTTTTTTTTTTTTTTTTTTTTTTTTTTTTTTTTTTTTTTTTTCACTTTGCAAACAATGCCTTGTTACTTGTTTTTATTTTGCAAATTATACCTTCAAGTAACCGGTAATTCGCAAAGTGAAGTAAGGCCTAAAGGGAGTATCCGTAAATGATAATTGTTCTTTTCGTAATTAGGTGTCGTTTGCAACTGTCTTACTACTAAATTTCATCATGTGGTTTTTGAAAATTGATCTACATATTGGTATTGCTTCCTGTTCAAAAGATAAGATGGCAATCTTTGTAGGAATCCCGTTCCCTTAAGGGTTAGCTAGATGTTTTTTTTTTCTCGTGAAATAGTCTTTATAACTGTGCTGAGTTGTTCTGAATTCAAGGGCATGGTCCAAGCTCTTTGAGTGTGAACAATAGTCACGAGGAAACCAATGGAGTCAAGCCGATAGCTGATGATACACGCTCCACAATGGTAAGATTGGCTTATTGCTATTGGTTATTACACAATTGTATGTATTAATTGCAGAAACACATTGAATTACAAGAATACCTCAGCTTATCCAACAAAATTACATATACCCCCTTGATATTTATTTCGTGTACACATTTTTTTTATCTTTTAAAGGATATTGTTAAGCATATATGAACCTAAATGGACAGTCTGTATTGTGAGTTGTAACACATACACATTTATAAAGTAATGAATAAAATTGGTTTTTCTTTGTAATTAGGACATTTTTTTTTTTTTTTTTTGTAAATTAGGACAAACCTTGACGTGGCGTGTGTGTGTGTATGTGTGTGTGCACACTTTACTGTATTCTCATTGGATCTTTTGTTCTCTTTCATCCTCAACCTTACCTAATTTTCTCTCTGAGAAACAGGTCAAGGAGGCATCAACACTGAACCAACTGTTGGGTGCCGGTCACTTGAAGAATGAGAAGGAAGAGGGCGAGCTATCCCCCAACATCGATTTTGAGGACAGCGGGACAGCTCAGCGCCTCAACAATTGCCCTGACGCAGACGATGGTGGCAGCGATAACGCATCTGAGGACGCTTCAGGTAGCGAGTCGGGGGCCGACGAGTGTTCGAGAGACGAGGATGAGGAAGAAGGGGAGCACGACGAGGACAAGGCTGAGAGTGAGGGCGAGGCTGAGAACACGAGCGAGGCCGCCCACTGTGTGGGTCTCGATGGTTGCCCGGCTGGGCCGCAGTCCGAGCGTTTTCTGATGAACTGTAGGCCTCTGTCAAAGAACGTGGCTTTGAAGTTTGGAGGTGGTGGCAAGAAAAGGGAGGGACGGGTTTTTTATGGGAATGATGCATTCTACGTTGTTTTTAGGCTGCATCAGGTGAGCTTTTGCAATTTTTTTATTTTTTTTTTTATATTCCGTTCTTTTATATTTTCTTATTCTGCTTATGGTTTGACTTGATTTCGAATAAAACACGCCAGCTGACTTCGAAGTTTGAAATTATGAAAATCACCTTTGAGGTTTACCTCCGTCTTGCATGTGATTGATGTAAAGGCAAATTACTGGCAGTATTACTTATATTTATAGTTTTTGGAGCTTACAAACAAGGCTAACTTTTCATCTTGGATTTACAATTACATTGCCCATTTTTTGAAATATTAGAATATAGCTACGTGGAAGATCATGAGTGTATGTAATAAATAGGAAAGTCAGGGGTGGCAACAACCATCCAGGGTGGTTTTTGTAAATGTCAGAGTTGTGTAGGTTGTTCTATGATCCCCCTTTATCCCTATTCCCTGGTGCTGTTTTGTCTATGCAAGATTACAAAGGTGATGCTTCTGCTTTTGTCTAACTGCTACGAAACCGTGCTAAATTTTGAAATATCAAATACCCTCCTCGAAATATGAATGATATTCCTTTTGTGGATTGTAAATGTTTTTCACAAATTCAATATGGTATACTTCGTAAGTTAAAATTTTGTATTAAGGCTGTATTAGTAACTCTATAGGTGCCAGTTTATTTTTGTCTCTTGGAAATTTTGTTAAATCTGAAGTTAATAGTTTATGATTATCATATCCTTCCATCTGATTCTGTTCTCTCAGAGGTCTGCACTCCTCGGTTTCCTCATGTGCAAATAATGCGAGCGTATCTTGAAATTTAAGCTTTATCTATGTTATTTGCTGGCAAATAATCACTTTTATTCCCCATGCTGATAGGCATTGTATGAGAGAATATTGTCAGCTAAGGTGAATTTGGCATCCAGTGAATCCAAATGGAGAACAACAAAGGATGAGAGTTTTGATCCTTATGCCAGGTTCTTTACCCGTTTTCTCAAGTTGAATCTCACAAGTAATTTGTTTCTCTGTACTGATTTTGCATTGAATTCACTGCAGGTTCATGAGTGCACTATTTAGTTTACTCGATGGATCTTCTGACAATTCAAAATTTGAAGATGATTGTCGATCACTCATTGGGAACCAGTCTTACGTTCTATTTACGTTAGATAAGTTGATTTATAAGCTCGTCAAACAGGTATGCTTTTTAGCTTTTATAGATAATTTAAAATGTTATCCTTGAGGTTTAGACTAATTACAAAGAAATATCCAGTTATCTATATCGGTTACCACAGATACTGCTTAGTATTTCTATGCAAATTGCAACCTACTGATAGTAATTGGCAACTAAAACACAAGTTTGGGGTAGTGTTTCTAATACCTGAAGATGTTTTTAGTAATTATGTTATAATCGAGGGTAATATTTTAGTTATTAAACTTTTATTTTATAATGTAGATCAGTAGAAATATTTCTTGAGTACTCATTATTTGGCCTCTCATATGATTTTTCTGCAACATAAACTATGTCTTTTTCTGAGTACTTATTTCGTCTGCAGCTCCAAACTGTTTCAAGTGACGAAATGGACTGTAGGCTTCTTCAATTGTATGAATATGAATATTCTAGGAAGCCGGAAAAGCGTGTGGACTCCGTTTATTATGAAAATGTCCATGTCCTTCTGCACGATGAGAACATATACCGACTGGAATGTGTATGTTTTACATGAATAAGTTTCTTTCTTTTTCTTTATTTGTTTTAAAAGAAAAAAAGTTAGGGATGATAACAAAAGCGAAGGTTTGTGGTATTTAAGCAAAAAGTGATCCCAGTGAATTCTGAAAATTTACTAAACTACCGTTGAGGTTTGATTCTGCTTAGATTTTGTCTATTCGCTTGTTTAATTGATGGAAGATTGCTAATGTCATATAATATATTTTAATATTACACCCTCAACCTTCAAAAATACCACAACTAGTCTCGACCCATGTCCATCTCTTTGTAGTAGTGGGAAAAGTACGGATATAATTATAGAAATATTTGACAACAACATTTCACGTTTAGTGTGTTTTATCACTTGACGGTAGTTTTTTGTAATTGCCCTATTCATTTATTGACCTTTCATCTGTATTATCTACCAATTAACGCTTACTCTTTTCCATGATTTGATTCGCAGACTTCTTCACCCACCCGCTTAACGATGCAATTAATCAGTGATGGAAATGACAAGTCTGAAACTGTTACAGTCTCCATAGATCCTAACTTTGCGTCCTATCTCCATAATGACTATCTATCAGTCGATCATAGGAAAAAGGAGTCGTCTAAAATAATGTTGAAGAGGTATTCATATCAATACACGAAATGCAGTAACTCAGTAGTTCGACATATAGTAATAGAATAGTTGGGCTGAAAAGGAAATTATTTGGAATTGATTTGCAATATTTAGATTATCTTCTTTGCCTGACATGCGCTCATAAAACATGCAGGAATTTGCGGAAGTATGCTAATGTTGATGAATCTAATGCCCTGTATATGGCTACAGAAAATGCTCTTATAATGAATGGGTTGGAATGCAAGATGTCGGCCTCCACACTGAAGGTACTTTCTATATTTTCTTGTTATTCTTTTGCGATTTTTTCCTTTTTTCATAATTTGCTGTGCATATTTTGGAGAAAACTACAGAAGCAGTTGGGTCTTTAACAAAAGTAGTCATTTGTTCGTTTACTTTTAGTCTTCATCTAAATTTTAGCACCACTTTTTTTTGTAAAATTTGATGGGAAGTTTGTATTTATGTATTCAATGCACTTTTTATATCTGATGATTGTCTGCCATATTATTGTGTTCTTTTTGTCTTATTCTATTATCCTGATCGCGAAAACATGTATCAGATCTCATATGTCCTAGACACAGAAGACTACTTCATTCGTTTGGGAAGGAGAAGGGAAAATAGGCCAGCTGGAAAGTTATCGAGCAATGGTCAGCGAAAAGTGCGAAAGTTTCACCAGTTCTTGGCAGCGGCTCTTTGACCCAGTCAGGCCCTAGTAATGGCATGAGGTAAATATTAAACACAATCCCTCTCTTTAATTTTATCTTCATTTTATGGAAGCACCAGTTATCGTTTAATGTAATAAAAACCCATTAATAAATTGGACTATAATCTAGGTAACCACAAACCCGAAGAAGGTGTTTGAAACCCTTCTAAGGACTTTACGTAGCAAAATACTATCCTAAGTTGCTTCAAATTCGGAACTATAACTCTTTCTTATCTTGGCTAAATAAAAATTCAGGGCTAGATCTTATATGTATGGCTACTTTATATTTCTGTTGTGGTCTTACTCTGAAAAAGATGTTGATATCAAAACCTTATTCTCAGTTTTTTTTTTTTTTTTGGCAGCCATTGCTTGGTGCTTGGTCGGCGAAAGAATTGGCCAGGCAAGTTCCGATTACTTCAAAAGGAATCTGATAAACCCAATAATGGGACTTTGAGTACGAACTCATTGTGATGTGGGATTGAAAGTCGACATGCTGCCCCTGGTGATGATATATGTATATATGAAAAGAGAAAAAAGGAAAAAGAAAAAGAAAAGGTTTGACGCGCAATGCTAATTGTCCAAGTCGTGTGTTGCTTTGACCGTCGAAAGCAGCATAAAGCCCTCTTTCTTGTTTTCCTTATCTATAGGTTTCTTGTCTCTGGCAGACATTCTCTGCTGGATACTGTAAAATTAGGTGATTAGAGCAACAGTGATATTCCCCTTTGGACCTGTTTTTTGTTCCTTTTTGTTGAAATGTGTATAGATTTATCTTCTCCACATCTGGAACATACAGACCTATTGTATGTATTGAACAACGTGTTCAGTAAGCTTTCTTGTTATGCATTCTTGTTATGCTAATAATATTAAGATTGTATTATAATACCCACACACATATATGTATATGTGTATATATATATACACACGCATAAATATATATATATACACTAAAGGGGTTACGCGCATAAATATATATACACTAAAGGGGTTACGCTGTGCAAGCATAGTCGTCCTAAATTTAGTCGATAATAAAATAAAAATTTTATGTGCTATGAATCTCTAAATTTATTAAATTAGTATGTACGACAAAAAGATAGAGAAACTAATTCGATACGTTAAACCTTATATCTAAATTAGAACATGATCTCTTAAAAATTTTAAGAAATAAATTCAAGAAATAACTACAAGAAATGAGAAATAACTAAAAAACACGAAAGCATGATAATCCCCTTAATCGAGCTACACACCATGAAAGGTATAATAAAGGTACAAGAAATTAAGCAAATTAATTCAGGCGGTAGACGGAGTGGATGGGCATGTTGATACCAATCAATCACTTCAGATGCCCCTTGAGTAATCTCCTTGAATCTTCTTTGATCTTCTTTCTAGTCATTTATCTCAATCTAGAAATTTGCGACCATGTGATATAGGATGTCTCGCTCGTTGTTCTTTCGACTTGTCGATGCAGTCAAAGATCATGATCATTACACCTAGCAATCAGTGGGTCGAGTTGACAGACTTGGATTATCTCAAATACAATAAATAAATAAATAAATAAATAAATAAATAAAAATTGTTGCCATTCGTATGTTGGCATACAATATTCTAGTACATGTTACGAACGAGTATGTTAAAATTAGAGAGTCTACAAGTTGGAATTATGAAAAGGTTAAATCGAATTATAGTTGAGGTATTTAGCGAGCGATATGAAAGGATGTCCACATCTGATGATATTTTGAGAACTCTGTATATTGTCAGCAACATGAAGGAATTTTGGGGAGTTTAGAATCTTTAGATTACATGCATTGGAGCTGAAAAAATTATCCTACAACATAGATCGATCAATATGTTGGTCGTAGTGATAATCCTACAATCATTCTTCAATGTGTAGCAAGTATGATGTTTGGATATATCATGCTTATTTTGGCTTATCGGGCTTTAACAACGATATCAACGTACTAGAATCATCTCATTTTTTTCTTAGATCTAACTTAAGGTATTGCTTCTCTAACTCATTATATAATTCAAGAAAAAGAATATAACATGGTGTTAGTGTTATATACTGAAAGCTTGGCTTTGAATGATATTACACTTTTACCCTTTATGAATGAGAAACGTGTTAGATTAAACAAGTTCTACGTTCTGTTGTTTTGCATTAGATAGTGTGGGTCGTCATCGGGCGAACCAAAGATCATTCTATCAGTTACTCGCGAAACAAGAATAAGTGGTTCACAACCTAGATGGACATGAACACCCCATTGTGAACGGTTGTAGTGTCAATCATGCAGTTTGTCTTGACTGATTAGTTGCACTAGTACATTTATGTATTGAAAAGGATCCCAAAGAGGAGCAGTTCGTTTTATACTGATCGTCGTAAATGAACTAGGCTTCGGTTAATTACTGCGTTCTCTGAACCTGTAAGATATTAAACAAACATATATGTGTAGTACTTATTACTTTGATTCACATGGGTGAGGCTTAGTGAACTGGGCCAATAGACCCGTTGTCTTGGGTAATATTGCTGCATGTAGGATGTGCTGTTAGGATATTTACGGTCACCATGTGAGTTAGTTTGATGATGTCCCCGAAGTGAGTTCATGAAGGATTATTATGCTAACCCTGCAGGTGGATTAAATTTCGGTATAGTAATAATGTGATGAACGAGCGCTAGCTTCGGCGAAATAATAATAAATTAATTAATTCTTGATTGTCAGTAATCAAATTAATTAATGGACATTATATATTAAACATGGGGAGATAAATTGAGTAATTATTATTGGAGTCGCAATTGTAAATTGGGCTAGGAAAAGAGAGTGCAATAACATTATGTTGGTGCCCATTTAATATTATCTAATTAATTAAAATAAGTGGCTTGGTCCACAAGTATTTTAATTAATTAAGGAACCATTCTCCTAGTCTTTTAAAGGGTCCCTACTGTAGCTCTATATATACATCATTAAGCTCATGGGAAGAGAACATATGATTCATAAATCACGTTATACACACCGTCCATAATCTTCTCCCTCTCAGTTCCCATTCGAGCTTTATCTTCTTCTTGTTGTTCCACCGGTACAACATTAAGGGGTGTTTGAGAATACAATAGAAGATCTGTAGGTAAACCAAGACGAAATATATTTTATCGTACAGAAGTAACCAGAGAGGTTCGATCAAGGCATGCAGCATACCCAGACGACCGACTCGACGAGAGTTTTCCAATGCCGCCGAGATCGCCGCCGTCCGACGCCACACGCGCCCTAATGCTCCGCCGGAAGGTCCCAGGACTGCAAGTTTGTTTTCATCGGTTTTGCACCCGTTTGATCCGGTTTTCGATTCGATCTTGTTCGTGCAACCCTAAGACGTGATTTGCAGTCAACTATTCATTGGGATGTTGTGTACGACCATCAAGAAGATCAGCCAGATCGCCATAAATTTTAAGCCGTAAGTTCTCTACGCAACCTTTAGATCCGTTGCGCATAGGTTTACGTTTGCTATTGAATTCGTGATTTGTGCATAACGAGATCCTCATATATCCCAACACATGAGTTATTATTTTTAGTTGATAGCATATATCCAAAATGACCTACCATTGTAAAAATAATTCATGAGCCACGTGATCCGAAGAAAATATATTTTGCAATGAAACAAGAAGCACACAGAAAATACTTTGAACGTGTTGTGATCTATGAGGATATCGTTATGTACAAATCACGAACTCAA